AAATCCATCCCCGTTGCTTTAGGGAAGAAGACTTAATGCTAAAAAGAATTCTTTCAAATCAACATGATAATCGAAGAAAATGGACACCAAATTGAAAAGGCCCATATGTGGTGAAAAAGGCCTTTTCTGATGGAGCATTGATTTTAACAGAGATGGATGGAGGTGATTTACCTACTCCAATAAATTCAGATACTGTAAAAAAATATTTTGTTTAAAAAAAATGTTGACTTATTTAAGCTAAAAACCTAAAAAGACGGCTTGGATGTAAAAGAGAAGCATCATCAGAAGAAGATCCCATAACACATGGGTAAGTATAGTTTGATGAACTCTGAAAAATCAAAGAAGTCATCTGATTTAGTTTTAGAGAAAAAATTTGAGAATATTTTGTTCATTATTATCTTGTAATCATTATTTGGGCATCTTTGTTTCAACTCAAACACTTTGTCATGCACTTGTTATCAGCCTAATGAAATACGTTATCTTTCTTTTAAAAATAATGCTTATCCTTTCCTTTATCCTTATCTGATTTTTTATTCATCGTATAAGTGAATAAAAGAAATACGTGATTGCACTTTGTTTGTCTTGAACTTAAAATGATGAAAAGAAAAATAAACATGAAAGATCTCAGCATTATGTTTAAAGTTAACAAAAGCAAATGAAAAAGGATGAGAAAAGCATGACAAGACATTGATGTTGCAGACTTTAGAAGAAGAAAAATGAAGAATAAAATGGTCGGAAGTTAAGAACAGATTGGTTATATAGCAATTGTTGAGAATTTAGATAAAAGAAGCAAAAAAGATAGATTTTCGAGAACCTTTTTACTATAATGCATAATTTTGATTGCATTACATGCATTGCATTTAGAGCACTCAGTACATGCATCCATGAGAAGTTGTAACAAAGATAAAAATTTTCCATTTCTTAATGAAAAACAAGATTTTGATAAAAACAACGATCAAACAAAAGAATTCAAAAGAGAGAAATTTACTTGTTCAAAGATAAGAACTCGATTTTAAGAAAAGATAAGATTTTTAAAATTGTTGAGCCTCTGCTGAGAGAAGTTTTTCCAAGATGAAAATTTTAAAGTTGTTGAGCCTTTGTTGAGAGAACTTTTCCAAGATGAGAATTTTAAAGTTGTTGAGCCTTTGCTAAGAGAAGCTTTTTCAAGATAAGATTTTTTAAAAATTGGTGAGCCTCTGTTGAGAGAAGCTTTTTCAAAATAAAATTTTAAAGTTGTTGAGCCTCTACTGAGATGAGTTTTTTCAAGATGAGATTCTTAAAGTTGTTAAGCCTCTGTTGAGAGGAGTTTTTTAAGATAAGATTTTTTTAAAGTTATTGAGCCTCTGTTGAGATAAGCTTTTTCAAGATGAAATTTTAAAGTTGTTAAGCCTCTGCTAAGATGAGCTTTTTCAAGATGAGATTCTTAAAGTTGTTAAGCCTTTACTGAGAGGAGCTTTTTCAATATGAGAATTTTAAAAGTTGTTGAGCCTCTACTAAGAGGAGTTTTTTCAAGAGATTCTTAAAGTTGTTGAGCCTCTACTGAGAGGAGCTTTTCAAAGATGAGAATTTTAAAAGTTGTTGAGTCTCTACTAAGAGAAGCTTTTTTCAAGAGAATTTTAAAGTTGTTGAGCCTTTGCTCAAAGGAGCTTTTTAAATTTTTGAAAATGTTGCTGAACTTTTTAAGCCTTAAAATTTTTTTTTTTTTGCGCTCAATGTTTTTTTCTTTCAAGAACAAAATGATTGTTTGTTTGTCTTTGCCTTATTCTTATGCCTTATTCTTGATTCTTAGAAATAGGCAAAGAGAGGCAGCTATAAACATCATTTTTTTAATTGTTATTTATTATTATTATTATTATTTTTTTTTTGTTTCTTTCTTTTATCTTTCTTTTTTTCTTTTTCTTTCTCTTTTTTCTTATCCGGTTTAAATCTAGTGCATTAAATGCACAATCCCTAAAGTCCAAATCGCCGTCGCTAGTTGCCAATAGCTGACTGACAAGCCGCCTAACACACGTGGCAACCGTGAATTTTTTGTTGAAAAATGGGATTCGAATCTCAGAAGATTTGATATTTGAATCACAGCAAGCTTTATAAATAGAGCTTGTAATCTGCAAACAAAAGATGAAAAAAAAAATTACAAAAAATTTTAGACAAAAAACAGAGTTTTCTGTCCAAAATTTTTTTGTAAAAACAAAAAAAAAATAAAAACAGTCTCCTAGAATGGGGAACCCAGCACAAAAAAAATACACCTTTAAAAAAATTTTAAAAATCAAGTCATAATACACAAAAAAAATTTTTTGATCGAAACTTTCATGCCAGATCTATGTCGTTTGGGGCACTTCTAGGTGAAATGGAGGCTGGATCTATGTTTGGGGGGTGAAAAGAATATTTTACTCTCTTTTGGGATTTTTCGACCATCGGTGACCGTCGAACGAATGAAAGGGAGAAGTTTTTTTAGGAGAGGGGAAGAAATGAATGAAAAAAAGTTTGAACTTTTATATAGAAGACCAATAGCCAAAATGACGTTATTTCAATAAACGTCTAAAACGACATCGTTTTAAGGCCTGAGGATCCACGCGTCAACCCGCAACCCGACCTGTGATCCACGTAACTGACCCAACGACCTGTTCTCCCTTTTTACCCTTGATCGGTCTAGGTAAACTGGACCAGACCGTCGCTGAACCGTAGAATCTCTCATATCAGACTAGCACCGAACCGACCGAATGGTCCAGACCTGCGTTAACCAGTCCGGTTCAAGTAAAAAAAAAATTTTTGAATTTTTTTTTGAATTTTTTTATATATTATTTTTGTTATTTTAATTATTATTATTATTATTATTATTTATGGATGTAAAAATGTTTAAATTTACCAAAATAAAATTTTATTGTTTTATAATATTAATTAATAAATAAAAAAATAAAAAAAATTTTGTCTGACGATGAAATTCAAAGGTACTCCGAGTAGTAATACCTATGAAATCTCTAGGTGAGAAGATTTTTTTTAATACTACTAGTGTATTGGAGTATTTACAAAAGATTTTCAACAGAATAAAAATTTTCTTTTTTTTTTATAGAATAATAACAAAAAATTAATTAATATATTATTAAAAATAGTATAAATAAGGAAAAAAGAAATTTTATCCAATAATGAAATTTTAAAAGTATTCCGAGTAGTAATACTTTACGAAATCCCTAGGTGAAAAGATTTTTTTAAATATTATCAATGTATTGAAATATTTATAGAAAAACTTCAATACAATAAAAATTCTTTTTTTTCTTCAAAATTAAAAATAATAAAATAATTAATAAAATTTTTGAAAAAGAGAATAAAATGTGTGCATCAATATGTTATTATTTACATTGCATACATGACATAATTTTTTACGAAAAGTAAATTCGGACCTCCAAAGATGAGATTCTAAGGTATTCCAAGAAATGATGCCTAAAAAATCTCTAAGTGAGAAAGAGTTCTTTTAATGTTATCAACGTACTGAAACATTTTAATAATTATTTTAATAAAAAGGTTCTAATTCCTTTTTCTCGAATAATATTTGAATATAAAAATAATAAATAAAAAATAAAAATCAAGAAAATTAATTTTCAAACACCGAAAATAAGAATGTTTTTTTATCAAAATCAAAGGATAACATGTAGTTAATTGGTATCATTTTAAACGGGTGCTATGGAGGTGCTAATTCTTCTCCACACGTAACCGACTTTCGAATTCAGACGGTTACACAGATCATAAAATTATCCTTTTAGTAAATTTTAAAATTTTATTAAAATAATATATTTTAATAAGTGACCAATCACATATAGCTAAAAAAGATTGGTGGTGACTTTATTTTATTTTTATTTTATTTTCAAATTCGTTGAGCGAAAATAAAACCGTTACGATAAAGTGAGAGCTAATTAGAGATAGAAAAGGAAAAGTAGAAATAAAAAAAGAAATATTTTGGCTTTTAATAATACGTTTTGGCTTTCGAGAGCAGAGAAAAAATTTTCATGTGCGGCTGGACCGGACTCAATCAAATCCTACCCATTTCAAATTAATTTTCCATTCTTTTGCTTGGAAAAGTCCAATAACTTTTAAGTATAATTGTAGCATTTTTTTATTATTTTTGTTTAATTTAATTTATGATTACATGCCTAATTCAATTTAATTAAATAATAAATAAAATGACAAAGTTTTAATTAAATAAATTGAATAATAAAATGTAATTATTTAGAAAATCTCTTAAACTATAACTTAAAAAAAAAGTTATAAGCGACGATTTTTTTTTAAATTATTCTAAGCGAAAAATGATTATGGAACTTTACAAAAAATGTTTGGAGAGTAGTCCAAGATTTTTTTCGAAAAGAAATTGATATTAGTTAACGATAAAGCTTACGAAATATATTATGATTCAAATAATTAAAATTTTGTAATAATATATATTATCAATTACTTATTATTTTTTATTAATTTAATCATAAAATATTTAAAATAATGCCCCGCTGAGCGGGGTCTGAATCTAGTCATTGTTTACATCATTCTTTTCATGGATGGAAATTTTGAAAGTTGCATAGAAAATAGAAATATAAGGTTAAGGATTTAGCGTTTACTGTTGTTTTATCCAAAAAAAAAGTTTAAAATTTTGTTATTAGTGGAATTTTGTTAATTGTGATATCTAAAACCTAATCTTTATAATAATAATAATATTATTATTATTATTTTATATTTTATATACTTTTAATATATATATATATATATCCATTATCAATGAATCTTTAATGAGTAAGTTTGAAATATATAAACCATACATATTCTTGTATGTATGTTTTTATAATTTTTTACAGATTAACCTTTCATTCACCTATAGTGTATAGAATATTTACATTCACAATTCATCAAATACAGCTATAAATCCATGAGAATACTCTTCCAATTGTTCTAACCGTAAGAAAACTAAAAAAAAAAAGTTGATATTAGACTATGCAAGAAGCTCTTGTATGTATATTACACTACTCCGTCAGTTCTTCTCTAAATGATGTTGTCATTTCCTTGATTACCAATGTCCTTGCTCGATTGATTGTGACAAGGTACAAATAGACATGCTCTTCAAGCTCCTCCACCTGTTTCCTGAAACCAACATTGCTCTTCTTCAGCTCCTTCACTACTTGCAAACAAAGTTTATCTTCCCTCCTCTCCAGACAAATTTGTATCATTGCCTTGTTGTGTTCAACTTCATCATGTAGCCTGGAAACTAGCCTACTCATCGTATCGAAATCCCTATTCAAAATATAAGTTCCCTTGGCTGCAACATCAAGCTGATCCCCAACTTTCCTAAGAAACCCACATTTCAAACATGGAAAATTCCTGAAGAGCTTCTTCTTCTTCTTCTTCTTTTGTAATAAGTTTACAGGGAAGCTGAAAATTGTAGGCGCCATGAATAATGCTGCAAGAGTATGTGCTGCTATAACTATTGCTATTATTACAACTAACCCACAAGCTGCAGTTAAGCAAATCCCAGATGCCTTGTGGATGAATTTGATCAGTTTAATCTTCCTAGCCACCTTTTTTCTCTTTGACTTGAGGTGGTACAATACTGAAGTGTACTTGTCATGGATCATCTTGAAATCATGTTTGTTTGGATTAGAAAATGGGTTGTTTAAGACTATGAATGAGTTTAGCTCCGAAAAAATTAGTCTGGCCTTCTCAGGAGAATAATAATCATCAAACGAATCGAGAGCTCGTTGAATGAACTGGTAATTACATTGAATTTGGTTGACTTTGGTGAGGAGATGGCCACATATATTTGAAGCTTCGGCACTAATGTCAAAGTAATTAAGGATGAGGTTTTTGAGTTCGGGTATTTTGGAAAAGATTGCGGATTCGAGGATGGAAGGTATGGTGTCTTGACAGGGTTCCAAAATTTGAAAGAATTTGTGGTGGAAGTAAGATGGGGAAGATGGTTCGTTGGCTAGTAATTGAGCTTTCGAGAAAATTTCTACGTAGGATTTGGTTCTTAAAGCACTCAGGTATTCCTCATTTACGTTCAAGCTTTTGCGAGCATCTCTCAATTCCTTCTCACCTGAAAAGCCGTATATATTAGAATTAATTATATTTTTTATCTAAATTTTTAAAAAATATACAAATTGATACCTAAATATATATATGTACAATTTTACATTCTAAACTTTTAAATAATATATTATTTTAATCTACATTCTAATACTGTTAGTACTTGTGTGTATAACAACTATCAAGTATTATTTTATTACATGTATATCATTAATTTGTTAAATAAATATATTAAATATTTTGTAAAAACTTCATTTTTATGTCATATGAATATTACATGACAAAACAATAATTAACTGATTTTAAATAATTTTTGAGATTTAGAAAAAAAAAATTTTGAATTTATATTAAACTAATATTAATAGTATAAATGATAAATATATATTTTGATAATATTTATCAAATATCACATATATAAGTTGATAATGCTAGCAAAATTAGAATTTAGATTAATATAATGCATAATTTAAAAATTCAAGATGTTAATTATATATTTTATTCATTGATGCATCAATTTATTTCTCGATTCAAGTATTAAATATGCAATTAACTCTAAAACTTACTCTATAAGAACAACTCACGAACGGCAAACAAAATTCCAAATGCGTATGCTATTGGGCTTTGTAGAATTTAATAGATTACATTGCCGAAATATGGAAAAGAAAGCACAGCGATAAATTAGCTAGAAATGAATAAATAATAAGATGAATTATTCTTTCTTATATGTGCACCTCTTGAACATACATAAATCAATAAAAAACAATCTAATTTATGGGTTTTTTATATGTTGTGTTATTTGGTGCTACATTAAACATTTGAGAAAGACTATTCAGATATATAATACTCTCACATTTATTATCATTTCAAAGGAAAATTGATGAAGAAAAATTATTAAAATGCAAAAGCACAATTGTTTCATCAATATTAAATTAATTTCTTTGCTTGATTGAAGAAGCTAGGAGGTTTGATTATAAAACTTTTCTTCTGCCAAAAGGCTATAAAATTTTGCCATTTTTTTTCCTTTCTTTTTGGATAGTTTCACCTGTTTTAACAGATTGAAGATTATTATTCTAATATTTTCAAAATTCCAACCCCCCCCCCCCCCTTTTTTTCTTTTTCATTGAAAGCTCCATTTAAATATGTCTTCGACAATATGCAAAATTAAACCACATATGCCCATTGTAGGTAGCGCTATAAATCTTTCAGTGTAGATGTTTCCATTAAAATTTTGATTGTTTGATCAAGAGAAAGCACTCATTGCAATCTAAGTGTTAAATTTTTAATTTTAATAATCAAGATCAAACCCTAATAATTTCAAATACCAAAAAAAAAAAAATTAATGTAAGTTCTTTCTGGTTTCTATTAACTGGTGTTTTTTCCCTTGAATTGAGGAAAATCATCAACATGAAATTAAGCCAGAGTTACTATAAGAGCGAGCATACCTCTTTTAATCTTAGAAGCTCTAAACTTTGCCAACATCTTAATCTCTTCTTGCCTAGGAAGAAGAAGCTGGATATAGAAGATCGAATTCGGGTGAAGGAGAATCAAGTATTGCTAGCTTTGAAGGAGAAATCTATATGTATCAAGAAGTAATTGGAATATCCTAGTCAGGCTCCTCCTTATAGAGAACCTTAAAAGGAAGAAACTTAATAATGGAGGGTTTTGTAAATAATGATGAGCTATTCGACTGCCAAGGCTGTGGTTGGAATTCATATATCTTTGCCTTATATAAAGCCATTTTTAAAAAAGAAATACACCCTTACTAAGAATTGTATCTCACGCCATCTTTCTTATAACTATAATCTTATCAAGAGAAGACAAAGAGATATGGAAACTTATTTCTCCAATAATATTTGCTTATTGCAATTGCAAAGCTTTATGGCTTAAAGTTTGCATCTTTTCCTCTTTTTGGCCTGTGTTTTCTTTGTCTTTATATTGTTGTGTGCTTTTGTAAGTTATTCATGCTTGTGTAGAAGAGTAACATGCATGGAGGCTGAAACTTATCTTTTTGTTCAAGTATTTCATAACAGATCTAACACCCCTGGATCTCGCTTAATTAACCGACATACATATATACCGTTATAACAATATTTTACTACCATATTTCATGCATTAACTAGGGATAATATATATATATATATATGTCTAGATATTGGTTGGGATACCTGATAGGATCTTCTCCTAGTGGATGATATAAGCATGGCAGTTGCTAATCATCATCCAAGGAAAAAAAACCTAATAAATAACAGCTGTCCTTTCATAAATGTCTTAATTATGTCCTTGTTAAATAGCGAACTAGGTATTTCACGTCACAAGGATGTGTTATATTCATATGAGCTTTAAAGAAAGTTAGGTTTCTAATTGTTCTATATGAAATTAATTACGCTTTTAGTATTTGAATTTTGAAAAAATATATAAATTGACATCTAAAAAACAATAAAATGTATAATTAATACTCTAAACTTTTAAATAATATATTATTTTAATTTAAATGCTAATATTATTAACTTAACTTATCTATATGGTATTTAATCAATATAATTTCAGTATATGTGTATTATTTGTTAAATAAAAATATTAAATATTTTATAAAAACTTCACGTGGATGTCACATGAAATATAATAATTGACCGATTTTAGAAATTTTTACGATTCAGGTAAAAAAAATTTGTTTATTTATATTGAAAAAGATATTGATAATATGTACAGTAAACAAATAATTTAATAATATTTATCAAACACCATATATATATATATATATGTTGATTGATTAACGGAATTAAAATAAGGGTTAACATGATAATTCTCTATATATAATTGATCGATTTTAGAAATTTTTACGATTCAGGTAAAAAAAAATTTTTATTTATATTGAAAAAGATATTGATAATATGTGCAGTATACAAATAATTTAATAATATTTATCAAACACCATATATATATATATGTTGATTGATTAACAGAATTAAAATAAGGGTTAACATGATAATTCTCTAATTAATTCAAAATTCAAATATTAGAAAATATTCTCATCTTTTAATATTTTTTACCCAATGTCTTTTTTTTTTTTTGGTTGCTAATGTCTTGTTATTCATTGTGCTTTGCAAATACTTCTTTAATCCTTCTTCCACTTACACCTGTCTGCGTTTAAGTTCATAAATTAGTCATATGATTTACATGTGAGGGAGAATGTTAAAATTAAATATATAATAATTGTCTCTTTCTAACAATTAAAAATTTTAAAATAATTGATCATCTAACTTAGCAAATAATGTATGTTTAAAAGACATTTGTCAATGTGCTATTGCTTTAAATATTTTCATATGAAATACAATACTTTGATTGTAAAAATATGGTTGTATTTACTTAAATAAACTAAAAGAGCTAGTGAAAAACATTATACGATAAACTGATTTCTAATGTTTTCTTTAAGTAGAAGTATTAATCAACCTTAAGTACTTATACCAGTTTTGGTTAATGTCCCATGATTATGGTCTCAAATCCAAGTAACGAAACACCTCACTAACCTAATGCAAAATTTTATTGTCGTTAGCTCAAGCAAATTTCTTCATCTAAAGCATAATTAAAGTTAGAAGTTGTGTATATATCAGTTTTTTTTTTTTTTTAATGAAGATTGTAGCTTAAGGATAAGGAAAGAGATTTATAGGTGTTAGGATTATTTGAATTCAAAACCGATTAAATGTTACTTTCTAAAAAATGATTACATAAATCAAACTAATTGAATTCAAAATTTGATATACAGCAGTTTTTAGTAGTCTCTTAGGTAACGTCGAAGCTTCATGGAGGCAAGAGGTAGAGGTTGGGGAGTGGGCAACCTGCAGTAAAGGCAATGGGACCTTTGTAAGACTCTAACAACCTCATGCTTTTCTGCTGTCAACTAAAGGATTTTTCGATTAAAGAAGTGCTTTTGATCTTTCTCTCGGTTTGATCTAAAAATCGTGGGTCATTATTGTAGGGTATATATACGTGGACAGTTCATCCATGCATGATAAAGAGGAAAAAAAACAAAACCGATTGAAAGAATGTTTCAGGAATATCATAAGAGAGAAGCAAGCTGGCGGCAAAGCCCATGTAAGAAAACCTGCTTGAATTCCCATGCAAGATACTGTGCCGTTAAGAGATAAGCGATTCAGTGATTATGATTATCCCATTCCCATCAATATTATGCCATGCATCTTTTTCACGTATGCTTAATCAATCACTCCACAACTTTAGAATCTTCCCCTAATTAACTGGCTTTTCTTTCTTGATTAATAAGTCTTGTTGGTGGCATGTTTTGGTGCTATTCAATGAGAGAAGCAATTGAAATATCTTCCCCCTAAATTGAGGCTTGAGATTAGAGCAACCTATTGATTTTTAGATTTTTCTTAACCAAAAATAAAAAATGAAGCATTTATAATTTGTTTTAAATCATGCGTTACTTTATTTCAGATTGAATGCTTTACTTTCTTTTTAAAAGTCATTTTTAATGGAAAAGAAAATTTTGACTAAATTGTTTCACAATCAAAACTTTTTTCTGGTACTAAATATATGTTTTGAGATATGTTTTAATATATGAGTAAATTATACCATACATTTATGAGTTTTGTGCAATTTAAAATTTATATCATTCATATTTTAAAAATTTAATTTTTTATTCAAATCTTTTAAAAATACATTTCAAATTTATCCATTTCATCAATTGTTGTTAAAACTTAATAAAATTTGTCACTTTAGTGCCATGTGAACGTCCATATGATGTCACGTGATAGAAAAAGCTAAGCTCATTTTATTTTTAGGTTGAAATTTACATATGCTACGTGGGCTTTTTATGGTATTGATGTGACATATTTTATTGAATTTTACCAATCCAATGACAGATTTGATTCATTTAGAACACTTTTAAAAGGTCCAAAAAATAAATTTTAAATTAGATCGTAAATAAAGATAAAATATTATATAAAAATCATGAATGATGGGTTAATTTTAATCTCTAACATATTTAATTTGGATTACAAAATTTACATTCTAATTAAACGATAATTCCCCTAAAAGCCAATTAGATAATTTATAAAAGAAAAGGGTGTATGAAAGTGGTATGAAATTTGTTTTGTTAATAACAACTACCATACTTTTTAGTATTTGATAGAATTTTTCTCTTTAGAAAATTATTTAATACAAGTAACTCCATCAGTGATATTAGAAGACTATATTTAAAAAAATAAAATTAATGAATATAATAAAAAAAACACATAATATTTTAAGTTAAATTTAAAAAACTCACTTTAAAATAACAAAAAAATCCCATTGTCCAGGTCTCAATGTTGCCAGAAAGGCCCAAAATTTATTGGACCACGGTCCAAATGTGCTGTACGCCAAAGCAAGCCTGGTTCAGCCACGATCCAATTGAAACACCACTTCTCGGGAAAACAAGATAAAAAATAGGACGGTTAAATTCAGGTTGATCACGTGCACGTGGAATCCCATTACCACCTGACGTTTCCCATCCCCCAAAAAGATCACATCGTCGAATCAATTCCACGTTGTCCCAAACTCAAGCTCCGTCACCCTAAACATCTCTCCTCTCCCCAAAAAAACCGAGTCAAACATTCCCAATCAGAACTCTTTCTGGCCACTCGATAATAATATTCCACGCGCCCTCACGCGCGCTTGTCAGTCTCCCTGATCCAACAGAAATCACAAACCCCAAACCCAAAAAACAACAACAAAATAAAATCCCCCAAGTATCCCAAAGCCTAGGCAAAACAAAATCCAGGGCGACTGAAATTTTCTACTAGAGAATCTGTGGGTAAAGAGAGAAACTGTCGCCGAATATGGCGTCGTCGAAAGTAATGCGGACTTCAAATTCCCGAAATTCGGATCTCTCCCGACGCTCTGCTTCTTCTTCTTCTTCTTCCTCTTCAAAACCCCAATCTTTCTCCGATCAAAACAACAGCAGATTAAGCTCGACAATGACGGCCGACGGCATTCTCCGAAACGTTTACTCAGCTGCTCCCAGTACGGAGACGACTCTGGTCGATGCTTCCATTACTGTAATTGACACTCCGATTCCCACCGCCGTCGCCGATAATTCCGAAGTTTCTCACGATCAAATGGTGGCGGATTGTAATAACAATGTGGCGAAAACTGTAGACGAGGTTTGGAGAGAAATAGTGTCCGGCGAGAGGAAAGAGATCACGATGAAAGAGGAAGCGCCCGACGAGATGATGACTTTGGAAGATTTCTTGGCGAAGGCTAGTGCAGTGGAAGAAGCGGTGGCGGCTGCAACAACGGAGGTGAAGGTGCATCCGGATAGATTGAGTGGAGGGGTCTACGCGTTTGATCCTGTAGGAGAGAGTGCGTTTCAAATTCTGGATAAGATGGAGGGGTCAATTGTTGGGTTGGGGAACGGGATGAAAGTCATTGGAAGTGGAGGAGGGGGAGGAAGAGGGAAGAGAGCAAGAGGGATTTTGATGAAGCCCTTGGATAAGGCGGCGCAGCAGCGGCAGAGGAGGATGATTAAAAACAGGGAATCCGCGGCCAGATCTAGGGAAAGGAAGCAGGTATAAGATTGGTTGGATTATTTTGATTGAATTGTGGCAATGTTAATGGATTTTTTTTTCTCTTAATTGTAGGCATACCAAGTTGAATTGGAGTCATTAGCAGTGAAGCTTGAAGAGGAGAACGAGTGGCTGTTGAAAGAAAAGGTATTGAATTTTGCTTTCAATTCTGATTATTTTTTATTTTATGATTTTAGAATTATAGTCAGGAACGGGTAATTTTTTCTATAAATTACTTGCTGGTGGGAAATATCTCTTATCTCAAAATAGTTTTCTTTTTGTCTTGTTCTCAGTGTAGTTGCCATTGACTTCATCTAATAGAGGAGACATTTGCATTACCTGCCAATGAAAGGATTTGTATTAAAACTAGGAGCTCCTATTTTGATCAACTTTTATTTCCAAACTTACAAAAGTTGATAATGATTATACTTCTTGACATATAACTGGTTTGGAGAACATGGGATTTCCCCCAAATCAAGCACATATTTACAAATTTTGAATTTCACTTGATATATGGTTATTTCCAAATCATGATTGATCACTTTACTTTTAACTAGAACAATAACATTTAGGAAGGAATGAGTGCCATTAAATATCGTAAGTAAGAAGATGGAGTTTGTGTGTTGGTGTTTGTAAGTGGCCTAATTTATCTGGCAGCAACAGGTTTCACAGTAATCCTTTGGATTCTACTTGAATTTACTTGCCCTCTCTGTCCATAGTCTTTGTTGGATTTGGTTGGTGGTTGATTCACTGTATAAGTTCTCAGGCTAGTTGTAAGTTATAATCTCATTTTGTGGTGTTCCCTCACTTAGCAATCTCTCATCATCTTTCAGCTTCATGTGTTTATAGAAAATGTTCTTTATTTGCTATCAGTTATGAAAATTTCTGCTATATATTGTGTTTATAGTCCAGCCGTCCTTTACTATATATTGGCAAAAAGGTAATCCTACACAGTTTATGCACTCAAATGTACAAACCTGGCATTTTCAAGAACTTAACATGAGTAAATTCACAATAAAATGCTTGTATCCATGTACAGGCTGTTTCTATGCTTGGTCCTTGCTGGAATTTGAATTCTCTAGATATGCCATTTTTGCATGTACTCAAGTTAGCTAATGATTGGTTGTTGTTTAGGGCTAATTATTGGCTCTCTTTACCCAGGTCAATTGTCCTCATCATGTCTTAAGTGACTTGAGCATAAGCCCAAGTGCAATCATTCAAGCTCATGCATACATGCATGTATACAAACTCACATATACCAAACCAAAAAACCAAAAATCTAGAATACTTCTTGCACTTATGCCCATACACAAATGGGTTAAATACAAAAATGGTTGCTGTACTATACATGTGTCAATTTGGTACCTAAAAAGTAAAAATTTGCAATTAGATACTTGAACTTATAATCAATCCATCACTTTGGCCCTTGGCACTATTTTTGTTAGTTAAGTTGCTGACGTGATATAAATATCCAATAAAATCCTAACACGTATCAAAGAAGTCCAATTATCGCTACATCCATGTTAGCAAAAATAAAAAAAATAAAAAAATTTTAAAATTTTTTAAAAGCATAAAAAATTAAAAGAAAAAAAAAGAGAGGGGAAGACTCGGGAGAGAGAAGGCCTTACCTCAAATTCAACTCCCAACTTCCGCATTGCTTTCTTTTTTCTTTGTTTGATTGCTGGAATCAAAGCAAAAGTAAGTTGTCATTTTGGTTTGAATTTTCCTAATTTCTTGCATTTTGTTGAGTTTCATTTCTTAGGTTTATTTTGGAACTAATTATATTAAATGTAATTGCACTAGTAGCTAGCAGTTCATATGCAACAAAGAATAAGTTATTTCTGGTCTTCTGCATGCGTTTCTGTGGGAAAACATTTATTTACAACTGGTTGTAATCTTGTAATCTGTATATTTATATTTGTATCTCTAGAATTAAGTATTTGTATCCCTAGAATTAAGGAAGATTTAGTTTCCTAGTTTAACCTATAGTTAGTTGTATATAAACCTAAGATTCTTGTATAATTGTAGATAAGCAGTTTTTCAATATACATTTAGTTTTCACATGGTATCAGAGCTTTAGGCTCTTCTTGGGATGAAAAATCTTCAGCCTTCATTGCTGACTTTTTTAGGCCTTCATTGCCGAATCCTGTTTAGGCTTTCATTGTCGAACCCTTTCAAAGAAAGATATCACTATCACCCAATTTGAGGAAATGTTAACCGAAAAAATCACTGGAGTACTACAGATGTCTCAAAAACAAGGAGAGTTCAACAGGGAAGAGATTGAAAAGCTGAGAAACTTATTGAAAATCCTTGAAAAGCCTACTATGGTATGTTCTTTGGGTAAAGTTTCTAGTTCAGGTAAAGCTTCCGGTTCTCATGGATTAAATGTCTGGACTAAGCCTATTACGAGTTCTTGGGTCATTGACTCAGGAGCCACAGATCACATGACATATTCCCCACAAAAGTTTAGTACATATAACCTGTGTCCTAGTAATAAGAAAATTGTTGTTGCTAATGGTTCACTTACCACAGTGGCAGGATTAGGAGATGTTCAAGTTAATCCCTCGTTTGTTCTCAAAAATGTTCGTCATGTTCCTGGATTGTCTACTAATCTGATATCTATACAAAAACTTACCAGAGATATGAATTGCAAAGTAATTTTTTATCCCTCTTATTGTGAATTTTAGGATCAGAGTTCGGGGAAGATGATTGGACTTGCTAAGAAGAAGGATGGACTATACTATCTTGAGACATCAAATAACACAAGTAGTATCAAAAATAATTTACCTTTGTCATTTCTTTCTGAAAAATCTTTCCATAAAGACAAAATCTGGTTTTATCATATTCGTCTTGGACATCCCTCTTTTAGAACCTTGAGAAACATGTTTCCTTCTTTGCTCAAAGAATTAAATGTTGAAGATTTTCATTGTGATATTTGCAAATTTGCAAAACATAGACGTGTGTCTTTTTCAATCAGTAACAAAAGAAGTTCTACTCCCTTTTACTTGATTCATAGTGACATTTGGGGTCCCTCTACAATTCCTAATATTTTTGGTGCGAGATGGTTTGTTTCATTCATAGATGATTGTACTAGGGTCTCTTGGGTTTTTTTTACTTAAATCCAAATCAGATGTGAATAGTGTGTTTTTAAGCTTCCAAAACATGATCCAAAATCAATTTGGAGTAAGAATCAAGAGATTTAGGTCTGATAATGCAAGAGACTACTTCAACCAGAGTCTATCCACCTATTTCCAAAAAGAGGGGATTATCCATGAGTCATCTTGTGTTAATACTCCACAGCAGAATGGAGTGGCAGAGAGAAAAAATAGCCATTTATTAGCCACAACCCGAGCCTTTCTTTTTCAAGCATATGTACCTAAATCTTATTGGGGGGAAGCTGTTTTCACTGTCACACACATTATAAATAGGTTACCTCCAAGAGTTTTGGGATTTAAAACTCTTATGGAACTACTCTCACAATTTTATCCCAACCTCAATACCACAAACAATCTCACACCTAGGATATTTGGTTGTACATCATTTGTTCATGTTCATAGTCATAACAGGGGAAAGTTGGATCCAAGAGCGATTAAGTGTATTTTTGTGGAGTATTCTTCAACTCAAAAAGGATATAAGTGCTATTATCCTCCTACCAAAAAATTTTATGTCTCTGCAGATGTCACTTTTGAAGAAAATAAACCATTTTTTACTCAACCTTATCTTCAGGGGGAGACTTCATTCATGGAAGATAAGGATAAAGACTTCTTTTTGCTTGATTTGCCCCCTTCTTCAACATTTACACTCATTAATTCTTATGAGTCGAAACCTGTTTCTGTTGAGCCCAAGTCAAACATTGAATTTGAGTCTGAACCCATTCCAAATACGGAAGATGTGACAAAGGATAATATTGTTCTTGATTCTATGAAGGAATTACAGGTGTACTCGAGAAGAAAAGTTTCAGATCCTGAACCAGTGCCAGTCCAAAAACCTGATCCTAACTCTGGAAATGAGGTAACTACAGTTTTTGACTCTGTTTCTCAAAATGAGCACGAATCTCCTAAAACTATAACTAGTGATTATGATTTGCCTATTGCCATTAGGAAAGGAACTAGAGAATGTACCAAGCATCCACTATACCCAATATCTAATTTTGTGTCATTTGAAAAATTCTCATCATCCCACAAAAATTTTCTTGTGAGCCTAAACACTATTTCTGTTCCAACTACATTATCCGAGGCATTATCCAGTGAGAAATGTAGACAAGCCATGAAAATAGAAATGGGACGGCCTTAGAGAAAAATCAGACATGGAAACTGGTAGACGTTGCTTAAAGAAAAAATTTCAGTGGAAGTGTAAAATGGGGTTTCACTGTAAAATATAAAGGCAGATAGTACTTGTTGAATAGGTATAAAAGCCAGGTTACGTGGCTAAGGGCTACACTCAGACCTATGGAGTGGATTACCAGAAACCTTTGCTCCAGTTGTTCAAGATGATACAGTTAGGATTTTGTTTATCATTGGCTGCAAATTACAATTGACAGCTTCAACAATTTGATGTAAAGAATCCCTTTTACATGGTGATTTGGAAGAAGAAATATTATATGAAGGTTCCGATCGGGATTTCGGAGGTCATCGTAGAGCAAACAATGTATGGCAGGCTAAAAAAAGGTTTTTATATGGCCTTAAACAGTCTCCTAGAGCTTGGTTCAGGAGATTTGCCAAAGTGATGCTAGCAATGGGATATAAACAGAGTCAAGGAGATCACACATTGTTTATCAAGCACTTTGATTCAGGGATAGTCACAGTTCTATTAGTGTATGTTGATGATATAATTGTAACTGGAGATGATGAAAAAGAGAGAGAATCTCTAAAACAGTGTTTGGCTAGAGAATTTGAGATAAAAGAGCTTGGGAAATTGAAGTACTTCCTAGGAATTGAAGTAGCTCACTCACGGCATGGTATTTTTATCTCACAACAGAAATATGTGATGGATCTTTTGAAGGAAACTAGGAAGCTTGCATGTAAACCTGCAAATACCCCTATAGATCCTAATCATAAAATTGGAGAAGCTAATGAAGATGCTGCTGTAAATAGAGAGATGTACCAAAGATTAGTTGGAAGACTCATTTATCTCTCACATACTAGACTTGATATAGCATATGCTGTGAGTGTGGTAAGTCAATTTATGCATGGTCCTAAAGAAGTGGACCTACTGGCTGTCTACCGTATATTGTACTATTTGAAGGCCAATCCTGGGAGAGGTATCTTATTCAAAAGAGATTCGGGGTTAGTTCTAGAAACATATACAGATGCTGATTATACAGGTTCAGTAACTGATAGAAGATCTACCTCAGGCTACTGCACTTTCTTAGGTGGTAATGACTTGGAGGAGTAAAAAACAGAATGTGGTGGCAAGATCAAGTGCTGAAGCAGAGTTCAGAGCAATGACTCAAGGAATTTGTGAGCTACTATGGTTAAAAATTATCCTAGAAGACTTGAAGATCAAGTGAGATGGACCAATGAGACTCTACTGTGATAACAAGTCTGCAATAAGCATTGCACATAATCCTGTGCAACATGACAGAACAAAACACATTGAAGTAGACCGGCATTTTATAAAGGAGAAACTAGACAGTGGGTTGATTTGTACACCTTATGTATCAACCAAGGGTCAACTTGCAGATGTGTTGACTAAAGGTCTCAGCAGTGCAACATTTCAAGAAATTATTTCCAAGCTGGGAATGAAAAACACCTATTCACCAGCTTGAGGGAGGTGTGGGAAAACACTTATTTATAGCTGGTTGTAATCTTGTAATCTGTATATTTATATTTGTATCCTTAGAATTAAGTATTTGTATCCCTAGAATTAAGGAAGATTTAGTTTCTTAGTTTAACCCCTAGTTAGTTGTATATAAACCTAAGATTCTTGTATAATTGTAGATAAGCAGTTTTTCAATATACATTCAGTTTTCATAGTTTCAGATGTATCTTTTGTTTTATTTTAATTGTGTTTCTAGTTTGGCTAGAGAGAGGCTCCTGGTTGTTAAAAAGTTTGAATTCATGTATTTTTTAACGTTCATGTGTTCAACTGCCAACTCTAGATTTCATCTCATTTCAAGCTTTCAGATTCAATGGCATAATGTTGAAAATTGAGGTCAAAGGAGAGGGTTTTTTTACGTCTTTTGCCATCCCCAATAAGTCTGTTATCATTGCAAATGGATATCTCCTTTCATAATTATGCCTTGTTCAATTCTAAATTCACTACAATATTTTTCTTTTTTTTTTTTAACTTTTTGAAAATTTTAAATTTTTTCAATTTTTAGATTCTTTTTCTTTTTCTTTTTTTAATTTTTCTTTTTTTTCGGAATTTTATAGATTTTTTTCTGAATGTTTTTAACTTTTCATATATTTTTTAATTTTTTTGAATTTTTTATTTAAATGTTGATGTTGCTGTGGCCTCACAAATGATGTGACTTTTGTTGCCACATATCATTTTATTCAGTATTCATGCCACATAAGCAACCTGACTAATGGTGTTAGTCTGAAGTGTGGATTTTATATCTTTAGATACCAAATTGACAAAAAGTGTATAGTACAAGGGTCATTTTTGTATTTAGCCCTACACAAATCATATTTTATCCAAAGCAGGACATTTCTCTCCCTTCTTATGCATCTCTTGTATGAGGTGTTAAACCCAAGTGTGTGGAAGGAACTAGCTTAATTTTACCTTTAACCATCTCGTTTCATGTATATTTTTGTTTTCATGTTCTAGGTACCAAGTCCTGACCGCTTAAATTTGAGGCTATCTTTCTATCCTTTGTTTCTTAGTTAGGTAATTCTTTCATTAAACTTTTTATTTAGTTAAAAGGAGGCTGCTATGAATAAATTTATTGCAGATGGTAAACATCGAATGATCTTATAATTAATTTGTATTGCTGTTTTATTTGTCGACTGCAGTTGAAAATTTTCTTGTCCATAAATTGCTATGATTGCAGTATCTGGACAGTCTGCTAACACGAATAATGGTAATGGCGAAATAAAAGTTTTGTAAAAGGGAGAAACCCTTTGGTTTTCTCTGACATTTCTATCTTTTAACAAGAGCACATATCATTTTTCCATCATTATGAGAGGAACTAAGCCAGCAGGACACACGGCTTTGTGTATTAAGCTTTGCAACAAGTAATCGTATTTCATGTTTTACAAATAAGTGTGCATGTATAAACTTAAAACATATAATAAGAAGTTGAGCAGTCTTTGTTTCCATTGATTGTAATATTTTCTTGCTTATTCCATCTATTGAGTCATATGTATGACCCTCTTTATTGTGTTTGTTTGCTTCCTTGTGACTGCTAATTGTTTGCTTTTCTGTTAAGTGATCACTTTGCATGTTACCATTGTACTTCACTAAATTAGATATTTGATTGCTATTTGGTTACTTTTGTGTTCATTCGATCAAATAAATTAATTTGGGATTCCATCAGTATTTGCACTAGAAAATATGGTTTTGTGAGTACATAACATGCACTTAGAACATTGGCTTGCTTTTAGTCAACATGAAATTCTATTTTGCACAACAAAAGATCTAACTTTTAGGACTTCTATCTTGTAGAGGAAACAAATGCTCACAATTTATTTATTTTATTTTATGCTTTTTTATTTGCCCATACTGTACTTCCATGTTAACCTTGCTAGGTCTTTCATTTCACTAGTTTTTCTTGTGTATGTTTCTGTCTAATTGAAATTGTTTACTTGCAGGCTGAGAGGACTAAGGAAAGGCTTAAGCAGGTAAAACATCGCTGCTTTGATCATGTAGATTAATGGTCAATTGATTCAATGGGATTGGTCAAAATAAAGAAAGACCTAGTTTGATCTTATTTGTAGCTGGAACAGACAAAGGAAATTGAAGAGGAAGGGTTTAGAGAATAATCTCTTGCGCTAAATAAATATAGTTGAAGTAAGTAATAAGGGAAATGAAAGGGTGGGGCAGGAGATGGCTGGGGAGGGAAGCAACGACATCTATCATTTAGGTATTGCCATATTGGGGCTTTATTTTGTTATTGGACTTGCTTTTAAATTTTTTTTAAGGAACATTACTGGTATGCTTCTAATTGAGTGGGAGGATTTTCTGCTTGACATAAGTGAGGGAAGAGGCTCTTCCGTAGAATATGGTATGGCCAAAGATTATTAAAACACCTAGGAAGCCTGTTAAGAAATGAATGAATATGAGGAAATAAGGTAATCAGTTTCTAATTTTAAAAAGATTATTGTCTGTTATAATTTCACCAGCAAAACATGAAACCATGTGCATGGCTCCCTAACCCTGAGGTTTCCACATTGTTATAAATTTCATTGCAGCATGCTTGAAATGTTTCTGTTAAAATTAACAGTTTCTAATATTTCAAAGAACTGTGAACAATTCCTTTTTCTTTGTCTAACTAGAAACCTAATTTGATTTAAATTTGTAGATGAGTGTATCTATTTCTGGGTGAGGAATTTTGTGATTCTGTCATTGTTCAAGGATTCAATAATTGGCCCTTGTTTACCTTCTTATACATTAGTTGGTCTTGATATTTGTTTTAGTTCTTAAATAATACTTGAGTGAGAAAATGCAGTTATGGCCGAAAGAGAATCCAGCAATAAATTGGGCCTATTAAATTCCTAAATAGTTGCTTATCATGTTGATTTGTGGTGTAGCTCATGGAAAAAGTGGTTCCAGTTCTGGAGCAGCAAAGACCACCACGTATGCTCCGTAGAGTTTGTTCTTTGCAATGGTAGATATTATTTTCTTGAGATTAGTGGGAGGGAAACAAAAACACCTAATCTGACATAAGGAGGGGGTTAAAGGGGAGGGTAACAGAAAGGGAGGACCCCCATTAAATTTATCTTGTTTTACTAGTAATTCCAAGCTGATAGTTTTCTAGAGCAGTTGTGGTTGTTTGCATGTAAACAAAGTGAAAAAGGGGTTGTAACCTGAAGCATGTCCATGATGGACAAATTTCTTGTTACGAAATAGAAGAATTGTGGCAAAGGAATATAGGGCAGGAGGCATGAGTTGGCTTATGTAGGCAGTGGGCTATGATGGTTCCTCATGCAGCTGATGTGCAAGAGGGAACAAAGGATTCTGGACTAGTATGTACTGTATTTATGTAGTGACAACTTTGGCAAAATATAGAAAGGCCAGTAGTGATGTATTTATATTAGTCAGAGCTTTCTTGTTGGAAATTATGTGCATGATATGATGCAAGTTTTTAGAAAAAGGCCTGTTTATTGAATGGAAATCGTGGGCTAAGCTCTATTTGGTTTTGGGTTTCTTTTAGAAATTGAACACAATACATTCTTTCACCTCCTACTCGATTGATAAATAATGTGACTGACTGATCAGAAATGGTATCGAAGTGCTTCCGTTTTGCTTACTGAATTCCATTCATTCCCGATTGATCGTTTAATAACTTTCTAATGCATTAGCAACCAATATGGTCTTTTTGTTTTATTGCATTTGAAGTAAGGGTAAGTAATCGGTCCGTTACTTATGTTTTAAAATATAAAAAATTGATTTGATCAGATTTTCATATTTAAAGTAATATTTTTTATTGTAGATTAATAATAAAAATTAAAGAAATATAAGATCAATCGATTGGGTTAAAAATTAAAAAATTTTCAGTATTCTTTATCATTAATTTTGAGCAGTAATTTTATAACAATTTTCATCTAATAAAATAAAAATATAATTTATTTAAAATTTTATAAAAAATATTGATTAAATTGATTGATTTAATTATTAATTTTAAAAGTCAAATTAATCGATTAAATGACTTTACTTAATCAATCAATATCAAAATTGAATTAATTAAATCGATTTTAGCAAATTCGATTGATTTTGATCAATCAAATTTTATTGAAATGCACTTATTTCATCAGTAATAAAAATTGTTGTGGATCGAATATTGATCATCAAAATTAAGATTGCAATATTATGTTCGATGTAGTTATTTAATGGAATTTTGAAACCAAATAAATGATAGATGATATCATAAATGCAACTTTATATAGAGAACTTTTTTTTGTTCTATTTCTAGTTATTGAGTTGGATAAAAAAAGCTAAAAGAGTTTTTCATTCTTATGGATTTATCAAATACTAGTAATTCTTAAAACTTCTAGATCTTCTTTTAATTTATCTTTTCTCCCTTTTCTTGTACTTAATAAATCTTCTTTTAAGTTAAAATTTTTTTATGAAGTAGATTATATTTCAGAAGTGAAAAAATTATAACAAACAATTCTTCATTTTATAAACCTCTATGTTGCTTTTTCAAATTCTTCCACTTCCTTTACAAAATTTATAAAAACCCTTTTAAAACTAAAATTTTAAGCTCCAAAAAAATATATTCAAGCTATAAAGTTTGATCAATGCATTCTTCTATTAGGAACCCAAGATCACTTGGTTACTCTTTAAATTCCAAAAGAAATTCCTCAATAGTGGTTAGAAAAAGGATACCCTTAAATCTATTTTGGTACTATCATAATAGCTTTGACTTTCCATAGCAGAAATGATATTCTTATGTGTACCAAAATGGCCTTGCTGGATACCAGATTCAAATATTACAAACATGTGGTACTTGCTATAGTCGAGATAACACTTAATGTAGGAACTGTCTTCTTCACAGTCTTCTTAAATTATAATATGTCTCTCCATAATCCAACACTATTAGATGCTTTAAAAGTTTAATAGTAGATTGTAGATACTGAGATGAAATGATTCCAGGTAACCCTTCACTACCAGATGGCATACAAAATTTAAGATTATGCCATAAAATTACTTTTTTCTTACTCTGGTGATGCTGTATTTGTAAAGATAAAAGTAGTAGACAAAAATCCTAGACATGTTCATTTTCCAAAGTAGATCTCCAACAACAAACTTGCCACATTACTCCGTAAGTCGTGGATAACAAGTTACCAAACGATTTGAAAAAAAAAAATGAACCCATTTTGACAATTAAGCTTGATCCTACCTATAAGACAAACCAAGATGGCACTATGACAATTGAGTTTGATCACAGTAAAGGAAAAGATGTTCCTCCCATAACTATCTTTCCAACATAGTTCATAATACAAAGATGTCAAGCTAAATCAAATGTTCCAATCACACACTTCCAATCTGATGGAAAACCTATATATGTATACAGATCTCTACAAGGATATTACTATTGGGACATTGATTGTAGACATAAAGAATTTCAGAAAGACACATATAGAAACTTCCTTGATGATGATGATAATCCTCCAAAGAAGCAAAAGAAAAAGTCCTACCAACAACAACTGAAAAAAAGATACGAAAAAAAAGACCCTAAAGTTGATCTCCTTGGTGAATCCTTAGAAAGTTTGACCATTATGTCATTTATCTTAAGAAAGACAAAAACCAGATTCACTTATCATACCCTACAAAATCCAAGCTTCACAAAAGCTAGATTTTAAACCAACCCTTACCTCAGGTGTGCATGATGTAACCAAGTTACCCATGATGGTCTAATAACTCAGATTTCTCTCATTTTCAAGAATTTCACAAAGACCAATACAAACACATTCCAAAAATCCCAAACCCACTGACTATGATAAATATGGAAATAAAAAAAATGTTTCTTGTGTAGAAGCAGTTTTAAACTAGTAAACTGAAAATTCTTTCAAACATAATGCATACTTGCATAGAATTGAAAACAAGTTAGACCAAGTCATCATCATTTTGACTAAATCTTGTCAATCTTCAAAATATTATTCTTGAAATACAATCAAAGATAATAACTTTAGATCAAGAACTCAGATATATGGCTGAAACAAACATTAGATTCACTTATGCTTTCATTAAAAGAAAAGAAATGAAAAGCCTCAAGATTTAACTTGAAGACTTTTATAATCAGCTTTGTCAGAAACAACAACAACAACAACAGACAACTTTCAATTATAGTATCTTCACTCTTATCAATACTAAAATGCATGACACCTCTTACCAACCTTACAGCTTCCTTCTTACCAACCATATAACCCTCATCCAACTTCACCCCTAAAACTTTTTTTCACACATTTTCAGTACAAACCACTTCTCACATCAACATACTCTCAACCAAGACAATATTTCACCCCAATCTTAGACCAACCAGATCAACCTTTCTTTGGTACAACTAAAAAATAAATTCACAAATTTAGAGAAAAACAACCAATTGATCCAAAGCCCAAAAGAATTACAGAACAACCATTTCCTCAACCCTCAAAACCAAAAGCAAGCTTAAGCTCTGTTACTACACCTTCAAACCCTACACCTTAACTAGAACAAAACCAACACAACTTATAATTTCTCTCACACAAAACATCATTTCAGAACTGATACAACATAGAGTAAAAGAAAACATCCCTAAATTTTTCATTGAAGACATCTTTCTTTCTACTTTTGAAACATAATCTCATATGAAAACTATTGAGACAAATGATTTTACACTTCTTCAGATATTCATGACAGAACCAATAATTGAAGTTTCAAAAGACAATCCAAAAAGCATAACTCTAATGCAATTGATACTAAACAATAACCTTCTCTAACACAAACACATGTTCCTCCTTCCATATCAAAGTTCTTAGTCTTTATAATTAATGATATTCCTCATTCAAAATGGCCTTCAAGATTTCAAAAATTCCTAGCATGAGGACTAGTTAATTAAACTCCAATCCTAATGTTATGATGAATACGATTTTACTCATATTCATCTCAAAATTGGTTGGAACCCTAAAAAATTTTTAGGACAATATTGGTGAATACAAACAACTATAGTTTCTTAAATACCCAAATATTACAAAAGTTGTATCTCAATTTTAGCAATATTTTTCAAGCTAAAATGTTGTTCCTTCCATCCAAAAGATCTTGATAGATATTATTAATAGTTTTTTCAGTATTTTTACATACTTGATAGATTCGATGATGTCAACTTAAAACAAGCCTTCCTAAACTCTGTTTCAGAAGAACTTGCACAACAAACAAGAACATAGCTTAACTTAAGATCCTTTGATGTCAGAACTATAAATCTAGGTATATCTACAAGATGATGTCAAAAGCTCTTGATAAGATTTACAAAAGAGCATAAATATATTGCAAACTTGGTGAACAACTCTAGAAAGCTAAAAGGATCATGTTTTTACTCTTCCTCTAGACTCCAAATCAAATGGTCTTTCAAGAACTCCACATGTCTTTGCAATCACAAAAAAATAATAATAAAACATATCAAAAGATTCAAACCTCTCAAAAATTATCACTTTTCTAAACATAAGAAGCTGTTCAGATAATCAGACAAGCCTAAAAGATTTCAAAAATTCAAATTTGACAGAAAGAAAAAAGACCCGAAATTGAAAAAAATAAATGTTTTCTTTGTGAAAAATTATAACATTTTGCAAAGAACTACCCAAAGTCAGATAAAATATTAGTAAACATGATACATGATATTTTTAATATCTCTTGTATTAATCTTTCATATGATGACCTTGAATTAGTCTTCTCCTTTGATGATAAGCACAAAAAAATATCATTATTTATGATCAAATAGTTTGATGATGATAGCTTAAACTTATACTCAAATAATTATTCAGATCAGTACATGTCAGTGCAAGAACTCCTGAAAATTCAAACCCTTTAACCTCTAAAAATGCCTTTAGCTCCAAGATAGATCTTTACCCATAAACACTTTCCTCTCATAATAGTTACAACTTTTTTTTATACTGGTGCAGCCTAAACCATAGCAAATCCCATTGTATTACCAAAAATCCTTTGGAAAAAATAAAAACCCTTATTCAAAATTGCTGATGAGAATATATTTTCTACAAGCTTTATACTTTGTTGCCCTTAAGATATTCCTAGGTTGTCAAATAACTCAAAAGATTTTAGGATCGTCATTTCCACATAAAGACATTGTTATTGGTTTTGATGTTATTACCAATATACCAAGTTTAAAACTCAGTGGAAAAGGTATAAAATCTTAAAGTTATTTTAAACCTTGGAAAAACCTTCCAAACCTCTTTACCTTAACCATTTAGACAGATTTGTTCCAAAAATTTAGATAAAAGTTCATGTAGGTTTTATATGCAGATAATCATTTAGAATTCCTCAAAAAATACAACCATCCATTTTAGAAAAACCCTGATTTTTTTAACTATCTTTTCCTTAAAAAAAGATGAAAATGCCAATATGATGAAAGCTAATCACTCAAGCATGAAGCCAGATCATTTCAAGTTAGCAAGCTAATAATGTTTACAACTCTAGGCTCAAGGATTAATTGAACCAACTTCTTTTCCATGGACATGTGAAGCGTTTTATGTCAACAAATGTTCAGAATAAGTTTGTGAAAAATTAAGATTGGTGATTAATTACAAGCCACTTAATGTTTTTCTTATCGATGATAAGTTTCATCTTCTAGACAAAAAATCATTGTTTGCAAACCTATCATAAACAAAAGTCTTCTTTAAGTTTGATTTGAAAGCAAGATTTTGGCAATTAGGTATACATCCATAAGATAGATACAAAATAATATTTTGCATCCCTCAACATCATTTTATTGGACAGTTATGCCTTTTGGATTAAAAGTTACTCCCTTTCTATTCCAAAAAGTAATGACAAATATATTTACCCCTAATCTTGATAATACACTAATATACATTGATAATTTCTTATTGTTCTTTCTAGATGTCACATCTCATACATAGTTATTGGATAAGTTTCAACAAATTATTTAACTGTATGAGATAATACTCTTAGAGGAAAAGATAATCATTGGTGCTTCATAAATTGATTTCTTAAGCATGCATTTGAAAGATGGATAGTACATAGCTCAACTTCACATTGCTAAGATACTTATAGAATTCCCTAATGAAAATTTTTCCAAATAGCAAGTACAATAATTCTTCGACCTAGTTAACTGCATGAGTAAATTTTTTTTAGTTTTTGCACAAATAACTCATTTTGTTAGATAGATGCTGAAGAGAAAATCACTTATGTGGTCCCAAAAGTAGACAAAGTAGTACAGATGCTGAAGATAAGAGCACAGTCACTTCTCACTTTAAAGATTCCTTCATATGGCAAAAGAATATTATAGATAGATGCAAGCGATAAATTTTGGTCAACAATCCTTTTAGAAGAAAAAAAATGAAACCAGACAGATATGTGATATATTCAAAAGTGGTATATTCAAATATTCGAAACTTTATTATCACTCTACATTAAAAGAAATTTTAATTGTAAAGTATGAAATCCAAAGATTTGAATTTCACTTCATTGGATATCACTTTTTTGTGGAATTAGATATGTCAGTTTTTTATCAGATGCTTAATTTTAAAAAAAAAATAAATACTAAATGCATAGCTACTCAGACTCTTTCAATGATTCTTAAAGCATTCATTCACCATAATGTATATAAAAGGCAAGGATAATGTTCTCTCAAACATGTTATCTAGACATGAATCCTTCACCTTTTTCCTCCTAAGTCCCTCACTCAATAAAAAAAACCATTTTTTATACCCTTACCTTTATAAGTTAGATTACAAACCTTTCACCTCAGATACAACCTTTTTAAATTGGTGTTCCTAGTAAACATTTTTTCTTTTGAAATTTAACAAATCATTGCCAAAAAGATCATTGAAAGTCATGCAAAAGATCTCATTTTTAAAATACAAGCTATACTAATAAAAAAAAAAACAGATCATGGACTTAGATCCCATTGGATTACATCCCAAATATTTTTTCTTCATCTTTTCTAAATACCCCACACAGCCAACTATTTAAAAAAAACCTTTGTTCTTCTCTGGTACCTATGTCAACTATACACCATTACCGTTAAGTTTAATTCTTTTGACCTTAATTGGGCTACTGTGGTCCTTACCAACGCAGACTATTTAGAACAAAAAATGTTATGCTTGGCAACACTCTAAACAAATGGTTCAACTTCACCAGAAACATTCCACAACATTATTATGTCATTTTTATGTTTCACAAATCCTATGAAATTTATGATGGCTTCATCATTTTTCACAACCATTCAGACATCTACATATGTAACCCGTACTTCTTGTATAAATCCATATCTTGTATGCTCATGCATATAAACTTTTACTAAAAAGACCCGATAAAATCAATTACATCCAGATTCTTGATAAACTTTCTCCTTTCAAAAAAGAACCATGGTGGAGGTACACCCCAGAATAAATCGAAGAGTTATATAATCACCTTGACAAACAAACTCCTAAACCCCCTTTCAATAATTGGTGGAGTGATCTATCTTAAAGACTGGTAAACTTTGACCTCTATAGACTAGCAAAATTAGCCTAGCTTCTAACAAATCTTTATTGGCAAAATTCAGACAACATTACAAGAATCAAAGAAAGATTCGAACATAGAATGTATAGCCAGTTGTTTCAACACTGTGACAAAGATCCTAAAGATTTTGAAAAATAACTTTTTCAATTGGTAGACAACTATTTATTCATCCAGTACCTTGAAGATTTTTCATAATGATCTCGTCTAAAATTTAGTCGTGGTGTTGTAGAAAGAACAATTCTCTATTCCAGTCCAATTATGTTTAATTATATGTGATGATGATTGTTAAATTCCTTCAAAGGATTTCAAGACAATATGATAGCACATCAAGTCAACATTAATTTTTATGTATACTTTATGTTAGCTTTATGTCTACTTTAAGTTGTTTTCGAGTTACATCTACTTTTCTAAATCTATTTTGATAAAGCAAAAAGAATCTTAGTTTTACTTTATTAAAATTACTTTATTAAAATTGCTTTAAGTCATGACAGTTGCTTTATGTTTAGTCATGGATTTCGTGTCATTATTAAGGTCCTATTAAGTTACTATTTGTTTTCGTTTTCTTGTATAAATTTATAGCTCTTTCTCCTAGAAAAACAAGTCATAACTTTCCCAAGAAGTTTTCCTTTGTAAGAAATCTTCTTTTATAAAATATATTTGGCTAAAAACTTTGATCTCTTTTGATAATTCCTTCCTCCTTCTCTAGTAATTAGGTTTAGAATCAAAAAGACTTCTTCTATATCATGGTTTGTAGTGATATAAGTAAAGTATACTCTACTGTTACCATAATATTGTAGATCTTCTACATCAAAAAGCCTTATAAAATTATTAAACAGATCATCGATCCATTCTTTTAGCCAAAAAAAATTACTAGACCATAATTTTATTGAAATAAGCTATTATAATGAAAGATATGTTTTTATAAAAGTTAAATCATCGGTTCGACTTTATGTCAAGAGTGCGTTTAATTTTGAATACCGATTAAAATATTTTAATTATATATTTAAATTATAAATTATTTATGTTGAATATTATCTTAATGCAGGTAAACGATATGTTTAGTTTTAGATATACAACATATGAGAAATAGTAACTTAAAAAAAAAAAAAAAAAACTATTGCTACTAAATTGGTAAAAGTGAATATGTTTATTTGAGAAGCATGCTATTGCTATTGTTATTGCTACTGCTACTGCAATTGGTAGTAAACTTGTACGTTTTTATTGATTTATAACTTCTGCCAAAGATTTCATTGTGTTGTAGTTCTCTTTAGGTGCTTTTGTGACCGTTGGCTAGTCGTTTAATCCTTGTCTTTGTCACTGCATTTTTAGTCCTTTTGTTCTTAACATAAGTTTGGCGCCCCACTTCGAAAGTCACAATTAGTACTAAGGCTGTTGAAATTGTCGGTTTTTGTTTTTTTGTTTTTAATGTGTGCTCGAGTTTTCTTCTTTTCTCAATTCCAAAAGTGAAGACACATGTCCAAACAAAGCGCACCAGTATTGGGATTTCAAGTGGGGGATGACGTAATTTTGTTCAACATGAATGAAAGGGGTAAATCTCATCATTTTTGTAGAATGCTAAAGATCCGAGTGCCAAGTACTCCCTGTTAGAGTTGGTAAAGTGTAAACTTAAAATTTCATATTCGAATTTAAATTAGTTTTAATTTTAACAAATAAAGATTGAAATTAAATTGATTTAATTTTAAAATTTAACATGATTGAATTATCAAAATTAAATTGATTTAATTTTATATTTAATAATTTGAATTGAAAATGATCTAAACCCTATTATTAATCAATACTAGTACAATCTTAAACAAGGAACAATATGCTTTGTCTCAAACTTGAGGAGAAAACCTGTTCAGCTCTTCATATGGATCAAGTCACTTTTTTGGTACGTAAGCCTAATTTCACTCAGATTTTAGATAAGATTTTTTAAATTTGAATTTGGATCAATCCAAAAATTTTTTAATTAAAAAAATTGTTTTTTATTTAATTTTAATTTTAAAATATATTTAAAATATTAAACATTTTAATATAATTTCTCTATGAATTTCTTTTTGATATATGGATAATTATTTAAATTTTACAAGCCAATTTTTTTTATTAAAAAGAAGAAAAACAAGCAAGATTAAAGGGATTATGCTATACTCAATTAAGATAAATAAAAAAGGGTTAAAAGCAAAGGTAAAGATTACATTGAAGACAGCAAAATTGGATACCCCAGCCAGCTCCCCTAACAAGACAAAACCGAAAAACAAAGAAAATTATTTGAAAAGCAGAAGAAAGATAATCAACGAACTAATAATTTTAGAATAACAATCCCCATCATTTTTACCACAGGAATCCCAAATTCCATTAATCTGCCAATTTCTACTTCTTTTTTTTTTTTTTTAATTTTATCTCCTTTGTTAAAGTTAAAGAGGTCAGTTTTTTTCCGCAAACAAAATCTTGCCACCTTTCATTGTGTAAAATAACCAAAACCCACACAACCTTCGATGCAGCCGGGGCTGTCATCCATTCAAAATCCCTACTCTTAAAAGCAATACACAGCTGCCATTGTTCCTCTCCCTCTCTCTCTATCCACTCTCCACACATTTTTCAAAAAACTATTTTTTTTCTTGCTCAACAATCACCCAAAATACCAGAAGACAAAGTTCTAGAGCCCTTCTAAACTAAATCCTTCATCTCTTGCATTTCCCCTTCAAAAGGCAAGACTGAAGAGTTCATGAAGATCTTCTCCATATTAATCTTCCTCATTTCTCTCCTTTTCCCATTCTTCTTAGCCTCTCATTGTGAAACAATCCTGGTGGATGGTGTTTTTGAGTGGAAAAATCCCAGTGTTCATGTGGGGGACTCATTAAGTAAGTATACTTGAATTTTGGGTTTTGATTTTTGACTACGGATTTTACTAATTTTTTGTTCTCTATACTAACATTATTATTCCAATGCTTTTGTCTTTAATATCTCAGTTTTCAAACACAAGTATCACTACAACCTCTATATTTTTCAGAACAAAGATGCCTTCAATCTCTGCAATTTCACCCAAGCTACACTTCTCACCAAACCCAACTCCACCTCCTATGCGGTATGTCACTCCCTATCTCTGTCCTGAATATTGGCTTAAGCTACGTGTTTTTATATATGTTTTTTTTTTTTTTGCATTCTTTTTCAATTGCTTTTTCCAAATTGGTCAAAGATTTCATAGCTTATAATTAGTCATTATAACTACTTCTTTTTAGTTCTGTCATCTGTGTAACTTTTCTTCGGTTCTTCAACGCTGGGAAAGAAAAAGAAAAAGTATAGTAATTTCCCAATCAACTCTCTTTTATATAATGTGCAGTGGCACCCTTCTCGCCCTGGTTTCTTCTACTTCGCTTTCAACAATGGGTCTCTCAAAACATGCCAAGGCTCTCAAAAACTCTCCATAGAAGTCTTTTCTGCGTTGCCTCCAGAAAATGCAACCAGCCCTTCATCAGAATTACCTTCAACGGCCGCTCCAGCACCAACTTCCGGTGGATCGGTTGTGTCATCTTCCCCAGCATATCCATGGCCATTCCGGCCTCGCCAGGCGGTTTCACCAGCACCAAGTGCTAGCTCACCAGTAACTGTACCAACTCCAGTGCCAGATAAAAGTGGTGGCATCCCTTTTATCAACAGTAACCCTGCAGTTCCATTGCCTACTGGTGAAGTTGAATCTGCTACTATTAGCCCTTTGCCCACCTCTGATCATGGAGGACAGGTACAATTTTTTTCTATTACATTGAAAATAATAGGACTTTTTCCTTTTTATTTTTTTCAAGTTAAAAAAAAAAAAAAAAAAAAAAAACTTAAACGAGAAAGAAGGATTCAAAGATGAATCTGAACCTCTTAAAAAGCAACAATAACCCTTTAGATTAAATCAAAATTAGTTTGAAAAATACTAATAATGCTATTCATCATGTCTTTAACTGGACTGACAAATTAGAAGTGTTTATGATCAATGATCACTGATCTGACAACTGTTGGTACTTGTTGGATTTTTTGGCAATTCATAGTTTTAAAAAACTGTTTCTTTGTTTTCATAGTACTGGAGGGTTACCCTTTTGCCTGCTCAAACTCAGTTATTGATAAAAATAGTAACTGTTAGTACATCCCCATGGGGGATATTTTGAGTGAATATCCGACCCAAAAAAACCAGAAAAAAAATAAATTAATGTTGATATATATCATTTATAAATTAATATAGTATATGTTTTTAATATAATTCTAAGTTCATTTAATTTTAACTTTTAATAAAGTGATATTTATATATATATATATATATGTATGTCTATTCACCAAATTGATGGGGTGTTGTTGTTTTGATTGGTTGGGTGGTTGCAGGCAGTGGTGGGCCTCCTTGCAGCTCCAGTGGCTCTATTTTCTGTGGCTTTCCTAGCTCTGTAAAAATAGAAAGAGAATGTTTGGCCAAATTGGTTGTAAATTAAAAATATTTTTGAGTAGAAACTAAATGAAGTTGAGTGATTAGAGGGTAAAGTAGCTTTAAGGTGCATGATTATATATATACATATAGAGAGAGAAAGGTCTTGTGGCGAAAGGTGAATATTGACAATAGCCATGCATCCATATCTTACTTTGGAATCGATTTCTTCCACTTTTACTTTTTTCCTGTCCCTCCCCACCTTTTTTTTTTCTTCTCATTTTTCATCTTCTGACAAATTTTAATTTGAATCCCCTGCCTGATCATTGCGTCTAATTCTGCCTTTTCTTTTTCATTTACCTTTTCTTTTACTATATAAATCTATAAAAAAAAATTTTGGTTTTTGGAAGCGCTTAGAATAGGAATGAAAAGATGTTCGTGAGGTGTGTTTAAATTTAAAATTTTAAAAGCTTTTCTTTTATATATCTCTTATACCTGACAATTTTATCTGTTGTACACATGGCCTGAAAAAAGTGCTGAGATATTATTATAAGGTTCACATCGCAAAAGTAATGAAATATGGTTTCTTAATTTCCGTTTCACTAATATATGTAATGCCCTAAGGTGAGGATATTCTCGAGGCAATGCTTGAACAATGTTTTTTTTTTTTAGTATTAAAACTAAAAGTATAATACTTTAAGTAACAGATCACACATGATTGATGACTACAATTGTATCTTTTGACATACTAGTAATGAGCTCGCACGATGCTGCGATTTTAAAAATTTTTTATTTATTAAATTAAATAATTATTTTTATTATCTAAAATTAATTAGTAATTTATTAAAACTTTTTTATTTTTTAAAATAAGAAAATAAATAGACTTCACAACTATCTTTTTTTTTTTTTCTTTCTGTGGCAACTTAAATTTTTAACACATGATTAAATTTATGATCCTTTACTCAAAAGATTCTAACAAAATAACACCAAAAATTCAAACAATTAAATAAACATGATAGATTAACAATAAAAAAATTTCAAAAATCCTTCTAAACAAATAAAAATGTTTCTAACTAATCGAGCTAGTTGACTATTTTCACAATCATTAATGGAGTTCTATGGATAATTTAATTTTGAAAACACAGGAAGCAACCAAATAACTTGGCATAAGCCATCTAATTATCAAATTAGATGTAAAATGTAGCAGAAATAAGAAATCATTAGCTACATGGATACATAAATCCTTTTTTCATTGTCAGCCTTTTATCAAACAATACGCTCATTATAGACCATGAATTACTTCAACATTTTTTAATAACATAAAAAATACTAGAAAGAATGGAAGAAAGAGACAATCAAGAAAAGATAGGCATCAAATCAATATATTTTTAATTTTGTACTATAAAATATTTATGAGGTATCGATAGGATAGATTGCGACAATATGCAACAACATAAATAGAATGATGAAACAATGAGCTTTAATCATTGTCAATCACACTCGAGAAAAAGGCCCATATGTCATAACGTTTAGCTTGGGAGAATCTATGCATTAAATACAAAAAATTATAAAGTTATCATCAATTTTTTTTATCTAAGTGTGATTGATCACCTATGTAAATTTATCATCTTTAAAGTTGTTCTAAGTATAAACTAAAGGTCCCTAAAAAGATCCTTTTCTAGTCAACATTAAGAGAACAAAAGTTCGGAAGTTAGTTACGTTTAAGGAAGGTATTAACACCCCTTTACGCCCAAATTAGTACCAAATTAACTGTGTGTTATCTGATTTAAGCATTATCAAACATAGTTTTTATCATGTCAATAAATCAATTCAAATCCTTTTATTTATTTACAAAATATGGTGATACAAAAATTTTATCAAAATATCAAACAATCATGCAATAAATATTAAAAATATACTATGCAAAATTATTATGCAAATATATTATAAATCATACCAAATATTATGTAATAATATCATACATAGTGTAGATAATATATTTGTGTTCGGGGTCAACTGGTGTATTATTATTATTATTATTATTATTTGATAATGCTACTATTATTATTATTATTATGTTTCTTTCCTTTTCTTAATCTGCATTGAATCAAGCCATGAATTTGCAAGATCAAAGATCTTTAATTTAGAACCAAATCAGATCAATTAGCCCTACAAAACCTTGCTTAAATCACGTCTGATAGAATCCAATCTAGGATTCAAGCCTGAATTTATTTTGTTTGAACCTTAAAATTTCTACTAGAGACTGGTTATAAATTGAACACAATATTGTAGAGAAATTTATGAGTTAATTTTTAGAGAAAGGATGAGTGAATTTATGGAGAAAATATGAGTTAATTTTTAAGAGGAAATATTTATGGATTTAGGGTTTCTGACAGTGGATTTTTGGAAGGAATTTCTTAGGGTTTGAATTTTTGGATTTTGTTTTGAAGTTTTGGATTTGAAGTTTGAAAATCTTAGTTTATGTTTAAATTTTTGAAAAATCTAGGTTTGGGTTGAATGTTTGAATTTTTTGTTGAATTTTTTTATGGGATTTCGATTTTTTTTTAGAAATCAGCAAGTTGCCTAGTTTTTGGTGACTTTTTTTGGGATTTTTTATAAAGAAGGTAGAGAAAAATTCAACTAGAGAGAGAGGACCGGGAGCTTCTAAAGAAAAATTGAGGAACTTGACTTTTAAAGGACCCCAATATGACGTTGTTTCTAAAGACCTAGGATTTGCGTGAACTTGAATAAAATCCATGCACGGCCCGTGGATCAACCCGACCTGATCGCATGTTTTTTTTTTTTTTAATTTTTAATTTTTATTTATGCCATTTTTATTTTTTAAGTTTTTATTTATTTATTTATTTTATTTTACTAATTTTTTTAAATTGAGCAATTTATTATTTATTAAATATTCCTTTTTGTTATTTTATTTTTGGAAAATAGTATAAAAATATATAAAAAAATAAAATTCTCTTTTCAAATAAATTTATGAATCTTACTAATTATTGGAGGATTTTCATGGATTTAAATTTTATGGATTCCACCAAACTATTGGAGAATTTCATAAATCAATTTTTGCCAAAAAAAATTGTTAACAAAGTATTTTGTATTTTATTCTACCAAACTATTGGAGGATTGCATTTTAAATTAAATCTTACCAAACTATTGGAAGATTTAATGAATTTTTTCAAAAATAAAATTTTATAAATATTTTTACAATAAAATCTCATTAAACTATTGGGAGACTTGCATCAAAGCAAATCTTACCAAACTTTTGGAGGATTGTTCTAATTCTTTTCTAGAGTAAAATATATTAATAAATTCGACAATGGAACCTCTTCAGGGTGAGACACTACTCTTCATAAATACTTCTGAGGTGAGAAAATTATCTTAAATTGCTACCAAACTATTGGAGTAATCTTAAGATCAATTTTTAATAGTAAATATTTTGGTAAATTGTAAACATGTTTAAGGCTTGGATAATTTGATATCAAATTGGCACTATCTTTTAATGGGCACTATAAGAGTGCTATAACTTTTTTTACGTATAACCGTATTCCTGAACCTAAAATATGATTTTATAGATTAGAATCTACTATTTAAAGATATCAAAGTCAATTTTAGGATTTCTCTTTAAATGGGATAGATTTGATCAACTGGTAAATCACACATAAACAAAAAAGATTGGTGGCAACTCCCTTTAATTCATGTCTAGTAGTAGGTTTATGGATCTATACGTTATGATAGTTTAGCAACTCCACTAAAAAAATTGAGAGTCAAACTAGTAAATAATTTTTTATTATCCAAGCCTAACCCAATAAATTTAAGATTTTTTTTCTTTTTTTTTTCTTTTTCCTTGTTTATATTTTGTTTAGTTATTCATTTATTCATTTTCATATATCTGTCATTCATGTGCATATGCATAACATGAGCTCTATACCCGAGTTTTATCATTTATAAGGAAGTAAATTACCTACACCTTCGTGAGATTTTATGTTTCAGCACAGGTTAGCAAAATACTCCCACTCAGATTGAACCCTTTTTACTTGTAGCTTATAATGGGTAAAGATCGAAGTGCCTTACTAGTCTGTGATAGATAATGATGTAAGAAATAATTTAGGAACCTTTTAGAAATAGTCCAAACCACATATAGTTAACCTTAAGAGCTTAACCATAGGTAGAGCTATGTCCCTCTACCTTTTGTAGTTAATCCAAAATCTAGAGTCATGCTACTATTTTATTTACTTTATCGTGTTGATTCTTTATTTTATATTGAAGTGACTAATCGATTTTCTTATCTTTTTATTTCTTTTTTTCTTGTGCATATTCATAAACATACATGCATATTGCATATTGTTCCTAACCTAAATATATTTTCAACAAAAGTTTTTATGAAACCCATAAAATGTCAAGTTTGCGCCTTATCTATACTTTTCAAATGTGATTCACCCATAAATGTGAAGATAGAGTAAAAAAAAAGGTAGAGAGAAGAAGACGATTGTTTATTGCCTGATTATGTCTCTACTTTACCAAAGAAAGTTTGTTTGCTCCTTAAACAAAGTGATTTGAAAGGCTTATTAGATATATGAAATAGCAGAGTTCCTTCAAGGTAGCAAGCTTTTTGTCAAAAATTCGAGCATGTTGTACAACTCTTGTTAATGAAGGTTGATAACTCACTCATTAAGGTGATGGTATAGTTTTAAGATCATTTTTACCATTGTTTCATCTTTAATAAAGTTGATCTAGTACAATAATAGAGGAGTATTCAATTCTGATGGGTATACATTTTCAGTATCCAAATGAGTATATGTAAAGAAACAAAATTAGGGTATTACAAAAAGCTAACCTATATTTTAAGAATGGAAAAAAAAGCTCATATATTCACATATCCAAGAAAAAAAAGAGCACTCCTCAAATATATCCTCCACCTCAAATGTATCAAGAACAAAGGCCTCAGAGATGGAGATGGAAAATGGAGTCAACTTCACTCTTAAAGTGAAGATAGAGAATCCGATCCTCCTCA